AAAAAGAAACCATGTTCCAACCCGGGCTCGAACCGGAGACCTTTCGCGTGTTAGGCGAATGTGATAACCAACTACACCATCGGAACCAGAAAGATTTCTGAGCTGTTTTGTCAAACACCCTCTGATTTCAATTTCAAAATAAACATATTTCATCCTACGTAATTATAATTGCCAGCGTAGGCCAAAACTTTAGACTACTACTTTTAGTTACAATTGCCTACTTTGAATAGCAAGCAGAAAGCACTCAAAATGTCACTACTATACTACGCAGTTATCAGACTTAAAGTCTGCCCACTAAAATATTTACCCTAGTTCTTGTCTGCTTATCCACTCAAGTGCATATATTAAATATGGCTACCTGCCATAACTTTCCAAAGTTTAAGGTCTGCTGCATTTCCAATAATTGGTGGGATGCATCATCTGTTGATTCAAAGCTTAACCAATTGGCACACAATAATCACCATTAACCCACCAATATCCCTATCACCCAGTTCGCCAATGAGTGTGCTAAAGAGAAATGGATCTGAACCTGTCTGTGAATGTGAGTGCACAGCTTCATATGCTGTCAAGTGTTTTTTACATATAACAAATATCTCACTGACCCAAACTATGGTCTACAGTTCACTGATTATTCCTGTCATTGGTTGTTACTCAGTCTGCCCACTGATAATTGCACAACTGTACAGTGAGCCATATATAAATATGCAACCAACTACATTAGACAATATACTGACCTGGGCAAAGCATTGCTGGGTAAAACAATGGTTTATTGTGCTAAAATGAAAGGCTAGCCAAAAATCTGGAGGATTTGAGAGCAGATACTCCTTAAGCAGTCCAGCAATTGCAACAGGCTGAGAAAGTAGATTGTGATACAATCTCTGTTATGTGTTTCTGATAATAACAGTATTATCATGTATCTCTGCAGAAAAATGTGTTTAAGAAAAAAATGCTTATGTAGTTCCAAGGAATCTATGGAAAGAAGTGAGATAAAAAAAATTATATAAGGCAATGTCAACAGCCACAGAAATGTCATATGTTGTTGTCACCACCATATTAACATTTGGAGTTGGTATTAATGTTGACATCTCAACATAACCCAATTCTCTTTATTGCATTCAGACTCTGACCCCTATAAGCTGGAACTGGTAATTGGACTACATCAGTGATATCAGAGCATTCAGTTATAATGATCCATTTATGCAAATTAACTGCTGGATATATTTTCAGACCAGCCATGATTACTATCCTGTGAATTTACCTGGGAAAAAGCTCAGAAATACTTGTCTACTTTGGCTATGTCTCTTAACTGCATGTACTCACAGTCCCTGAACTGTATTTTAAACTGGGGAACAGTCAACCATCAACAGGAGCTATTTAATGTCAGAGGAGTATGAAGGAGTTACTCCTAGTTTAATACCTAACATTTTCATCACCTGGCCAATAATTGAAAATGTGTGGGCTGAAATAGTTTCTTAATGTTACCCCTCAAAGGTGCAGGTCAGCTGGACTGATTATTATAGCCAATGACCCCAATCTTAGCCAGCTAGTCATAGTAATTTTCTACCCAACCAAGTACAGAGCAGCTACTAGAGTTGTCTGCAAGGAGAATCTGTACTGAAGGGAAACTCCCTAAGCCATAAATTTACATTGCTCCTGAAATACCTGACTGAACCAACACCTGCTTGCAAGAAACTGTAAACACTGTCTATTAAATAAGCCAAAAACTTTATTAACTCAAAATATAAATATCAAAAGTTTAAAGTTTAGTTTGCTGTGCTAATTACAATTAAAATTGAATTAAGTATGCTTAATTTGGAATGCGGTTAGTGAGTGTTTGACAAAACATAGCACCGAAATCTTACTAGTTCCGATGGTGTAGTTGGTTATCACATTCGCCTAACACGCGAAAGGTCTCCGGTTCGAGCCCGGGTTGGAACATGGTTTCTTTTTTGCCGCTTGTTTGTTTTGGGTCTAT